CGTCGTCGTCGTCGTCGTCGTCGTTGTTGTTGTTGTTGTTGTTGTTGTTGTTGTTGTTGTTGTTGTTGTTGTCCATCTTGATGCTGACTGTGGTAGTGGTGGTCATCCTCATCATTGCTTTTCTCACCCTGCACCAGGGTATAGGCAACGGAGAAACACCTTCCACCTTTCTCTATCCTGGGCTAACTTCTTGATGTTATTCCATGTCATCCCACTTTTCTGTACATAGATTTCTGGGATTCTTCTCTAGGTTCCACGTGGTATACCCCTTGATCTCTTACCCTGTGGGTTCCTATCCAGAACTTTCCTTGTTATGCAGCTTCCTGACTGGTAGTGGTGGTTTTAAGGGCTTATTTCTCTTCGGGGGGCTACTTCTCAACAGCTTGTCCACTTTCGTCAATAAGCGGTTAAAACTGGATAAAAACAAATCGCCCCTTTTAATCTTCTCGGGTCTTTGTATGTGGGTCTAAAACTTGGATGACCGGAAGAGTCTGAAAGCTGATTAGAGAAGGTCACGGCAAAAATAACGGTCCAACATGTTTTCTTTGACGTTAGCCTAATGTGGGTTAAAAATAATAGGTGGTCAACAGCATACACCTAAAAAAAAATTAAAACCTTGACCTGTTTCTATAACCAGCCCATTTTAACGCACGCCTACGAAACACGGTTCAGTTGACGAGAGAGCACTTTTCGAGACACAGGTGGTAACGTCTAGACGGTCTTGGATAAAAAAGTTAACTACGTGACAACACTGAAATGTGGGACAATCAGGTGGTGTCGCTATCTAAAAATTAGCAATTTGTGGGTTATGTTACTGTCCATCATTTGTTATAATGATTCTGTGTATGCATACCCAAAGGGCGGTGGTTAATATAGGACCAAAATAAAAAGAAACTTGCTAATTACTGAATCAAGCTCTAAAAATAAATGTTTCGTCTCTGTCATACAGGAGTGCCATACAAAGAAGTTACGTGAGCATTGTCAAATGATTCGAAATGAATGCATGGGCTAGGATTTTTTTTTTAACGCGGACAGACAAAATGAACCAGCTATAGCTGTCATTTCTTTCTTTCTTTCCCTATTTTTCTGTCACCCTCGCTCCCAAAGTAAAGAGATAAAGTAAACGAAATACCCCCCCCCCCTTTTCCCCCAGGGAACCCACTCCATAACCTGACGGTCATACATCATTGTCAAGTTGCACGTTTTTCACCACCGCGGTCATCACAATGACGTATACATCTGATTTAGTTTTTTTGATTACATCGATTTCTATATCAAATTCCCCAACATCTCTAACCGCAGTGTCAGTAAATGTATGGCTTTCATCATCATCATCATCATCATCATCATCATCATCATCATCATCATCATCATC